GGACGACATGATTCTTCGATTCTTGCCAAGGACTTTGAATTATAACTATAAAGCTTTAACTGATTTAGGATGAATCTTTGGTGGGAAAACTTGTCGAAGCAGGTGTTCAAGGTCCCCTGGAACTTGTATCTTCACCTCTCGAAACCACATCAGGTCACCTAAGTAGCCTCTCGACAGAGCGTCTGCGACGTTCCCTTTAGATGTCACGCGTTTCGCTTGAATGTCACAAGCTAATATTGTAAGCAACCGCTGAATAGCTTTCCATTCCTCATTCACTAACCTATCCCTTGATTTCCTCTTTGTCACAGTCGACTGGGACGTAGTGTTGTCCGTCCACACTGCAAATTTCATCCCTATCGGAACAGCCTTTCTTAGTATGTCACTGTGTTGGATGCGGTCAGAAAACTTTGGGCTCACCTGCTATTTGCCTCAACTTTTGTAGAACCAGTAGCCCTAACCGTATTGCTACGATCTCAGCCCACGCTATCGTGCGCTTCTCCTTCTCGAGCGCCAGCGTTTGCCAACCTGGGGTGAATTCGAAGCAAGCCCAATCTTCGCCTATCAGAACTCCTATGCCAAATGAGGATGAGGCATCCCCCACCCAAGCTACTTCCGTTGCTTTGGGGGATGGAATAATTTGTCTAGTCTTAAAGTTTGTTAACACCCAATGCCATTCTCGTAAGTCTACTTTTACGCTTGATGTCGTGTGCCTGAGCGCTGACTTGTTCCTCCAGCTCTTCATCCAGCTGTAGAAGGAATTCATATATGGCTTCATGTGCGGTACGATATGAACAGTGTGTACCAACTTCCCCACAATACTCTCCACAGTATGTAACACCCATCTCTTTTCCGGCTCTAGTAAATCAACAATTAATTGTAATCTTTCTTTCAATTTAACTTCTGGCAGTCGCACCGTGTGGTCATGCCCATTCCAAATGAAGCCCAAAAACTTTTGTTCTGCCGCAAAATCGTGATTTTTGATTGGATTAGTCGATACTCCTAGGTCGTCACTCAACTTTGTAACATCTTCTAAAGTCACTCGATGGCCTGGTCGTCAAAACATCAAGTTGTCATCAACCCAACGGAAGATGACTATCTCCAGCAGTCTCTCCACGACTAGTTTCCAGACATGTGCCGGTGCGCCAAACACTCCACAACTCGCCACACCTCCGAAACCTACAGCTAAGTCGACCCAAACTCTATTATAAAAGTCCAATATGCAAAGGTAACGTCGCTGACAAGGGTGAATTGGCAATTGCCGATATGCCTTTTTCCAATCGAAGATCCCCACATCCCAATCTCCTGGGTTGTCCTGGAAGAATTCTGCTACCGTATTAAAATCATCCCAATATGTTCCATAATTTAGTTTATTTACGAAGGAATTTACAGAAGGTACTTCTGGGTCATTCTTCGGGAACGACAAATCGTTAACCATCCGAATGGACCCATTGCTATTAACAGCACTCCCCATTGGGTTTGATCGAAAGAAGCCGTAACACTGGAAAACTTCTTCGTGAGTGAATGGACCCTCCAATCTCCCCGCCTCCCACTCTTTCGCCAAAGTTGCCTCTATCTGCGACCTAGCTTCTAGAGCTGACTTATGATTTTCCGGGGTATACCACCTCAATCCAGCTAGTTCATGTTGCGGTATTCCTAGACAGAATCCATGTTTGAACCCATTTACAATGTACGGGATATCTGACTTTAAACCAACTTCTTCCATCAACATCACCCACATATCTACTTTCATATTGTGCCGAACCGGAGTTGGCCAAGGGTCACTAACGGGGACCGTGAAGATCTTCCTCTCACACAAAGGTAGCGGTTCCTTCCTTGATCTCCCTAGATTCTCTGTCGTGTCTTCGTCTGAATCAGAGGATGTATTAGAGCTTTGCTCTGTGACTGATGGCTCGGGGATCGTCTCTATCCTTTGCTCCTCTAACACCAACCGCTGTGCAGGTGCGCAAATATGCACTGACATCTCACTGTCCCTACTAAAACCCACAGCAATTTAAATTGGTATTTCTTTTTAGGCACATTTCTTTGCAAAGGATACAACTATGGAAGCTCTAAACACTAAAAATTCAAGAACATCAAGACGCGTTAATAAGAAAAGTTCCACGAGATCAATTTCCGCCAGTAGACCCAAGCCAGAACCAAGGTAAACCATCCAATCACAAAACTACGTCAGTCCAAACCGTCAACTTCATTTGAGCAAAACACCTCGCTGCTCATGTTGCTTGGGTCTCCTCTTGTGCGGACGACTTATTGTTCTGTCGATTCTTGTTTTGGTAATTTGGTTTATACAAAGTAGACGCTACTGGGGTGGTTGTTGATGTTGGTTGCTGATTCTCTCCTGCTAGCAACCAAGACGAACGTCAGGCAAACAGTCAAAATAGGAATCAGATCTCCGCATCAAGGGCTTACCATTCTTATTGTACGAATAATAATTATTCTTTTTAACGTAAGGCTTCTTAGCACCACTCCTTTTTCCTCTGAAGGATGACGCTTGATGCGATGGAGCATTTGAATCAGGAGTCTTATTGCTGACTTTTGAGGCGACATCAACCTTCTTCCTCCCGGTAGTAAAGCTATAGCCATACTTTTCTCCACCAACTGCATAAGGATTATCTTCAAACTGCAAATCACCAGCCCGATCTGCAAAGAATTTTGCATCCGCCTCAACCTTTGGTTGAAGACCATTTGGTAACCGAACCTTATCTTTGTAAACCGTCTTGCCATTAACTTTCGTCTTGACTAACTTTCGTCTCCTAAAGATCACAGTCTGTATAGCTAAGTGATAACAAAGGCCAACCATCCAACACAAGTATTTCTTCTTCAGGTCAGAAACTATTTTCTTATGCTTCACGATATAATCAGCATAGGCGTCTAACTGGTAGATTTCTCTCGCGTATCTCTCCTCCAGATCACACATCTCGATAAAATCTCCAAACGTTATTTGTTTTTCTAAAGCCTTCTGAGTAGATTTTGACTTCTCTCTTTTCTCTTTAGTTTTCTCATCATCGTCTTCATCATTATAAGCATCAAGGAATGACCTTTTGAAAACTGAGAGGGGTACATAAGTTCTAAGTCTCTTGAAACCTTTATCCCACTTCCTTGGTAAGTCTGGCAAATCCGCCGAGTCGAACTCTAATAGATCGAAATCTAACACAGCCTTCTTCGCTTTCTCAGACTCATCCGAACTCGAATCGTCTTCTGATGACGACTTATCAGAGTCAGACTCCGAGGAGCCCGAGGGGTCGCCATGGGGGCTGGACGACCTTTTCTTCTTTGGCTTAGAGCGTCTTCTCTTCTTCTTTTTCGACTTCAAAGAGTCTGAATCATCTGAGTTAGATTCGTCGCTCGAGGTTTCTTTCTTCTTTTGTTTCCTCTTCTTCGACCTCTTTTTTGGTTTCGAAGGTTCTGAGTCACTCGAGGAAGGTTCGTCACCAGGTCCGTTTCTCCCTTTTGCATCATGAAGTACTCCATCTACTCTATCCTGAGTGGGGCGTGCTGGATGGTCTTTCTGGTTCACCCCTCCTGAGATGCTAGCCAGCAGCTGACTCGAATCGTCAACTCGTGGATTTGACAGGCCTACCCCTGGAGCCGGGGCCCGTTTTGGATACGGCTCGTCATACTCCATTTCAACACTGGAACCGAAAGAAGAATTGAACGCTTGGATCAGCCGCCTGGTGGTCGGGCCATCTTTCGCATTTAGCGCCTTAGTCAACGCCTCTAGAATAGATTTGCTCCCCGGATTCGTGTTGAACTTCCCGGTTCCTCGTTGAGGAGTCCCCGTATAGCTGAAACAGAACCACAACCACACCAAACCAAGGTGAGTTTCTAACCTTCTTCACAACATCTTTATAACAGATAAGAAGGGAGAGGTGTTCTATCCGACAGAAGAGTATTAATTGATTCTCGCATGCCTCTATAGGTTTGGAATCCCTCCTCATACCTCGAACCTCACTTGCGTGAGGGACTAGGTCCATGGTGCGCATCAAGCTGCAACCTAGTAATCTCCAAGCGTAATGGGAGTGTCGTACTCTATGAACAGGCTCTCAAAGCAGCCCTCAGCATAGGATCTGCCGACCGTGGCTCATGGCGCTTCAGCAGCCTGCACTATTCCTCTGACCTGCGCATCTAGCAGCCATGGTCCACCAACACTACCATCTCCAGAATGACAGACATGTCTCGGATCAAGTGTGTGAGAAGAATACAAGGATAAAAAGGGAAAAAGAAGATGGAAAACGATTGTGGGTAAAAGACTTGTCTAACGACATACCATCTATAGGTAAGCTATTTTTCGGATCCAAATTTTCTTTTTGATCCGCTAAACCTTTCCCCTTCTTCGCAGCTTCTAGCTGACGCCTTTCTTCATCTCTCCATCTTTCCATCTTCTCTAACTCTTTCTGTTTGAGTACCAGTGGTTTCACGTCCGCCGTATCTGATTCTGGATCTTCACTTTCATCCTCCTCCTCGACTTTGCTCACCGGAGAGACTTGATCTCCCATCTCGTCTTGCGTATTCGCCTGATCCACTTGAATTGGCTCTTGAGGCTTCGACTTCGGTGCACGAGAGGCAGCCCGCTTCTGACGTTCCTCTGCTTGATCTTTCTCTTTCATCTGTCTAGCTAACTTCTTTTCCTCTTCTTGTCTTGCCGATGTAACCATTTCTTGACGATCTAACTTGCTTTTAATCAGTTTCTGGATTTGACTCTTGTTCATGTAGAAAGAAAATGACTTTTGGAGTGACTATAGCTAAGCTAGTTTTGAGAGCGTAAAGAATTTTAGAATAGTGACTATGATATTAAAGAAAAAAATTCTTAGAAAAAATTCTCTATTTTTAACTAAACACGTGCAAGACGTTTTTACTAGAAATTGAAAGAGAGAGATGTCGGAAAGAGAAGAGACCTCAGGAGGGCGTTTCTAGAGAGAAAAACTTTTCCCTCTCTAGTCTCTGCACAAATGCCACAACCAAATGGTTGCCCGGCCCGAGGGGCCTCGAGTCTCTACCCTTCCCGACTCTCCTTACGCCCGACGTATTGGACTATATATTACCGTCGCGAGCTTGGGGTAATCTACGATTCATTCTTTGTATGTCTCATTACTCAACACACAACCTCATTTTATATGTACCTGCACTATGGACTCTTCAACCTTTCAATCATGAATATCAATCATCTTACACTTTTCAATCTCAAAGTCTCTCATAATCCCATTTAAGAGAATATAATGTCTTACCCATAAATGCCTACCAATCCAATCCAAAAATTGGTTGAAAATATTTGATTTCCTCATTGGGATACACATCTGCCATTAAAGAAGTCTTTTAGTAATTTTATACCATGATCATGATCATCAATTAGAGCTACATTAACCTGAATCCAGGCTTTGAATTTTGAAATCAGAGAACTCAAGTGAGGGAATGGCTTTTTGAAGATATACTGCAGGCAGCTGACTGGATTGGTACCGACTGGCTGGGGACCCCGAGAGATGTACCGGGTCGAATTTGGTAAATCGCAATCTGTAAGATCACAAGAATTCGAAGAAGACCATCAACTTACCACAAGAAGATGAGCAAATCAAAATCAAAATCAAACAAATCCAAACCAATCGAAGTACTACAATCCACTTCAAATCAAAAACCATCAATCAAATCAGAATCAAACAACTTTAACCCATTCACCACTCTATTCAACTTAATCTTATTCTCAATTCAATTCATCTTCAAAATCATCAATTCTATTATTCGATTAATCTTATTTCAACCTCTCATTAGCTTTCCTATCATCATCTTCATCATCATCTCAATCACTCCTACGGCTCTTAATTATCTTATCAACTTATTCTCAACTAAACTCATTCGACTCTTGACCTTTTCAACACCTTCGATTCCTCATCTCACTTATCTCTATTGTACGATCCTCAATGGTCCATTCTTTTGTGAAGGATCAACTCTCAAACCGATTCCAGTATCTAAAATCACTCGATCAGTTGCTGATAGCGCTAAGTTAGCCTCCGATATCTTTGAATCCGTCGTCGGCCTGGGCGATCCTCATAACCTTGGCTTACATCAGGCTGATATCCTCGAATTGGCGTTGGCTGTACAACATTCTACTTCACTCGAAGGAAAAGATGTATTAGCACCTCAGCTTATGGATTTGAGTGAGATGACTAGAGATGTGAAAGATCAAATTATCAGTCTGAATAGTCAAGGCATCAATACCTTCTCATTCGTAGCTTATGAGGTGAGACACCATTTTCGATTTCTTAAAACACGAATTCAACATCACTGATGAAGTTCTTTACAATTTAGTTTTCAAGACTACAAGATTTGATAGAATTAATTCAATCAGGTTCCAAAAAATATACAACTCAACATGTTTCACACAACTTAGATATCTTATTCCAAAGACTTTCAGAAGACTTAACCAAACTATTAAATGATATTGACTTTCCTTACCATTAGCATCTAGAGCCAGTGATTTAGGTACAAAACTTACAAGTGACTTCTTATCATCACACTTTAAATTATTGAAATTTAAAGTATCTACTCCGATTTGGAAAAGATCTTTGAAGGATTCTTGTCTCAAGACAATGGGTCTAGAGACTTAATCGTAACTTCGGAAAAGGTGGAAAAGTTTAAATTGGTTTGGAAGGAAGAAACTTGAAGAAGTAAGAGTTCTAATGGCTTATCGTAATAATGTGGCCTTTCTGTAAGGTGATTGATTTGCTTGGATCTTTTATTCCATCGATTTTAAAATTTATTATAATACTGATCATCTTTCATTTCTTGAATGTAGGCTTCTTTAATTGGTTCACATATTGCTGATCATCAGTTATCAGCTGAAGATGAAGTTCATGCAATGAGACATATCATTGATAATGTCAAACAAGCCGTTAAGGAATCAAAGTCACAAAAAAAGCGGGTTAAGAAACTTGAGATTGATGCATAGGGAGTAATGTAAAAGATTTTGATAGGTCTTGTTTCATAAGATGCCAATGTAGTATAAGCTTTTCTAAGGAAGGTAAGATAGATCATTATATGTATATAGCTGTTATGGCCTTGGAAAGTTGTAATATCCTAATTCTACATGTGATAGTGTATTTTTGAAACCATGTTGCACAATGTCTGCTGTGTTATGTTTACTGTACTCCAATATGCTCAAGACAACTTTGACATTCATGAATACATTCTGACTCCTGAAAATCCAATCCGGTGCAGGTGCTCATAGATCATGATATATTGCACCGAAGAAGTCTGGAGAGTTCATGATCGAAGCCACATTCTCTTTCTCCAATCACAGTGACACTGACAATGTTCACATTGTGCAGGAAAAATGGCCGTAGAGGCCTTGGCTAATCTGAGCGAGATTGTAGGCAGCGTTGCAGAGGGTTCTCACGAGGCTGAAAAATGCTCACCATTGGAAGGATACATGCCTCTTAATCACTCACTAGCAGCTCACCCGGACAGATGGCATGTTTGAACAGATTGAAGATATACAC